GTAATGTTAAATTATTACGTCATTGAATACTTCTCTAAACAAAACATCAAAAATAAATGTGGTTTTAAATTTTGTCCCATATTTTTAGACCGGAGAAACCAGAGAGATCTACCATTTTAATTACACAACGTGGCCTGATTTTGGCGTGCCAGAGTCCCCAGCATCATTCCTCAACTTCCTTTTCAAGGTTCGAGAGTCTGGCTCATTGGGGCCAGAGAACGGACCTGCCGTGGTCCACTGCAGTGCAGGGATAGGGAGATCTGGGACTTTCTCATTGGTTGACACCTGCCTTGTATTGGTAAGACTGCGGTTACAAAATATTAAATGATTCTAAAGGTTTTACAGCACATCATCATTTATTACGTTCATTATGTGAGACTAATCATTTTTTTAAAACCTGGGTTAGAAGATTTTCATTATCCTGTTCAATATAATGTTCTGTTTAACTGATATTTCATTGTCGTTTTGTATTTGTAGATGGACAAGAGGAAAGACCCTTCGTCTGTGGACATTCAAAAGGTTTTGTTAGATATGAGAGAGTATCGAATGGGCCTTATCCAAACCCCAGATCAGCTTCGATTTTCATACATGGCAGTCATGGAGGGAGCAAAGAGCATCCTGGAAGACTCGGCTCTGCAGGTGTCAAGCATAGTGCGATTGCATTATTACATTTGGTTTAGAGTAGTTTATTAATAACCAGTGTTGCATTAAAAAAATTGCATTACATTGTGTTACTCCTAAAAAGTACATCACTGTTCCAAATTTGGGGGATTTTATTTTAGATTTATAGTAGATTCATACTTGAACATTTATAATGTTCAAAAGTGACAGTAGAGACATTAATAATGAATGAAACACTAAATTATTTATTTATTTTTGTGTGTGTTACTTTGATAAACCATAGTAATTGTGCATTGCAATATATGTGAATAGTTGATGTGTAACATGTCGATAAAACTAAAAAAAAAAAAACAGTACGTTTGCTTCCCAAAAGTATTTAAAGGGGTCATATGATGTTGCTAAAAAGAACATTAT